ATTTCAATGCACTGTATTTCAAGTTTAGACTCAATCGAACGTTTTAGCGTTCTAAATTTATCAAAGGCTAATGGAGTGCCTGAAATCACTGTCTTAGCCACAGGTAACGGACTCAACGTCTTTAGATACAAGTGGACCGGGTGTATTTTATTTTAAGTTACTGAGTGTGGTCGTTGACTTTCGTTTGTTGCAGTACAATAAATCAATTCGATAAACAGGAAATAGAAGATTGATTAAAATACGACTTATCGACGATATGAAATACTACTACGGTTAATATTTTTGGTGCGACTATAATTTTTGCAACTCAAAATATAACTCCAATAAGGTATTTACGATTTTAGAGACAGATAATAGTATGGCGTAAATGGCGGACAGAGCTCAAGCAAGTATAACGAGACCTACTGTTGGCATGCGTCAGACGCTACCTTTTTAACTAAAATCCATTTTCTCCATTATATTTATCATCGTTAGCCTAATTTTGTAACTATATGTGTAGGTGAAATCTTATTATGATACAAATACATACATATACATCCAATGAACCATGCAAATTTTGACCGAAATTAAGACAATTAGCCAAGTAACGTAAATATCAACTTAGTAGCAAATTAACTAGATTTCAAAACTGTCCGATACTGCCGTAATAGCCTGTCCTGCATCTGACAATTGCACTAGACTGAAATACAAACTAAAATAGGATTCAGACAAGAACAATGACTATTTGACAGTTGTTACATGTACAGGGTTATGAATGAGGTTTTGTGATATTAATTTTACAGACAATGATATTGTGTTGTATATATAACTGTATTGTGTTCGGACTTCATATTGTGACAATGAAGAATATGAACTTGTTTTAACTTCGCGGGGAATTCATCTTGGTGAAGGCGTAGAAGTCGCCAACTACGCTTGGTATAATAAGACAAGTATGGCAACTCCGCACAAACGTAGCAGCGCGGCTTGTATGTGTGCACGCCCGCCGTGTGCCGTATACAGACACACACAATCAGCAGAGCTCCTTATGAAAGAGTTCGTCCAAGGAAATACTGCCACCTTACCTATTTCTGCCGCCAAGCAGTAAGGTGAGCATTAATGTGTTCCGGTTTTGAAGGGTGCTGGTAAAATTATAGGCACATAAGACTTGTCAACTTATGTCCCAGGGTAATCTGTGCCCAGGGTGAAGGGCGCAGTCGAAGTACCCTTCAGATCTTTGCGATTTAAAGGTCTGAGTGGGACTGCAACTGTTATTGACAGGTGTGTAGATTATCATCAGACGCACGACTTGTTTGTCCCGTCACTTGACTATTATACAAAAAAATCGTGTAATCTCGCGGTGCACTCGCGCTGCACAGCGCGTGTCGTCACGCGAACCTTATTAGAATATTGAAACTCTCGCATGTTGTTTAAAAAATGACATCGAACAGTAGACGTGTTTAGTAGTTGTGTTTGTAGTAGTTGGAACAAGAGTGCTTTAAATCAAAATTGTTCAGCATTTCGTTTCTATTTTATAATCACACTTTATAATCAAGGTACCGATACGGGATGTTACAAAATATTAATACATAAGTATAAGTAAGCAATTAACAAAGGTTATTTCAATAACAAGAAGCACGAAATCACTGGTCACGACTTTTTTATTAATTTAGTTTACAACTTTTCTACAACTTGGATACATTGGAGGTCTAAACTGGATAATCTACTGAAGCCTCCTTTCACTCGCACCGAGTATTACTAAGGGTCGTATTCTAGAACTCTACTCAATGCTCAAGTCGGGATCTGCGTATGATTTCAAGCACTGGAACTACGGCCCTAATGGAAGGGACTTGAGTATGATTTCGAGTGCTTTAAACCATACTCAAACCCTGACTTAGGCATTGAGTAGAGTTCTGGAATACGACCTTAACACTTCGTCACGATTAAGGCTGCACAATTGTGGAACGATCTCCTATCTGAAATTCGACATTCTAAGTCGCTCCCTATTTTCAAAACCGGATAGGATAAATCTTCTAACACTGTCCTAGTTTGCAACGTGTATATATTTAATAAGTATAAGTTTATTTAGATATATTTAATTACACATATATTTACGTAGGTATAATACACACATATCATAATGTGTTCAAAAACCGCAAATTACGACCAGCATAAAGATAAACTGTTTTATTAGAACAAATTGTTTATCAGTGAAAATGTTATTATTGATTAATAATAACATCGAATTCGATTTTATTATTAATGTAATAATAAAAATTAATCAAATTTCGTACATCTCTGAAAAACAAAAGAATTTGATTCGACCTCAATTCTAATATCAGTCGAGATGAAGTTTTATTCGAAATGAAATGTCCATAGCAAAAGATTTTGACAGTTTTACACGTTACTTGATATCGAACGATTTGATAGTTGGGGCCGCCTCTAGTTTGTCTACGAATTAAATAAAAACTACTGTGGTGTGACATGCGTGAGAAAAGATTTTATTTGCCGCCATTTCGTCAGCCGTAACATGAGGTTCCTGAAGACATCACAGAGAGCTTATAATATGTGTATAGATAAAGCAGTGTATGTAACTGTACATAATTAGGCATTAAAACACTCGTGTGATGAGTTTATGAAACTCGCCTGTCAGCTAGTTTCATAAACCCACACTCGCCTTTCATTATGTAACAGTCACATAAACTACTATATTAAGTATTTCATAAATTATAATGGAAGTTATATATATAATTGAATTCATTTTAACTCAAAGGGTGTCTAGAAGAGATCGCTCTTAGCGATAAGACCGCCTTTGCCCACATTAGTTTTAAGTTGCTCATGAACTGTTGTTTTTGTTCTTGTGTGCAAGCACTAAAGTATATCATTATAAGAGTATATCTATGTAACTATCTATCTATTAACAACAACTCCGCGGCTGAACGGTTGCCATGCCGGACTGCCATGCAGAGGTCCTAGGTTCGATTACCGGGCGGGAAGAAATATTTGTATTACCTACATTTATTTCTCTCGTGAGTTTGGGTGTAATTTGTGGTTGTCAATGCCCATGGCACTCGCGACACAGGGTTTCTTAGTGCGGGGCTATGTTGAGTGTGTGCGTTATTATTATTATTATAACTAAAATAATAATGTAACAACAATACGCGTTTAGCGAAGTGTATATAGGGCATTTACGCGTCGAATAGGCGGGAGCTGCTTTACTTGATTTTATTATATTAAGCTACTAAGGTAGGCAATAACAAAATAGGTTTTATAAAAAAAAAAGCTCTCCGCATTTATAGGCATACAGAACAATAAACGTATGTTAGACAAAACACAGTGGAAGCCGATCGCATTTCCTCTGTACGTATACAAAGCGTATTAATTGCGGTCCACTAGTCTTTGTGCGAATTGTGCATTGTGTTTTCGAGTAGATTATAGGCAGGCATAAACTATTGCCAAAGTTTAGATGGTCTTAATAAAATGAGCCGTTTTGAAAGCAGGTACTGACATTTTGTTGTAAAAATTATGTTGAACTAGGTGACATCTTTAGTAGGTCACTGGCGTATTGAAGGAAATGTTGGGTAGGCATAAGATTCTTTATATGGAAGTGAATTACTCTTTATTAAAAGACACTATCTAAGATTGTTCCTGTTCCTCTTTGCGTCGCTAAGAGCTCGTAGATGACAACCCTACTACCATCGCTGCATGAAAAAATGAAGCAGATGGCGACCATACTAGGATCCATTTCATATTAGCCTATTCAACATTTTCTCATCTTGGGTATTTAAATCAATGGTTTAATTAATTAACTCTCAAACAGAGCCAAACAGAATATCAATGCTTTCGGATTGTCTGTCACCTTACGTAATTAATGACTATCCACGCACATTAGGGCCGTGCTAGTTTGTATGCACTTCGGACCCGTCCCAGCACCGGCACGAACACGGACTTGTGTCAACGAGTTCATACAAGATATACTCAGCGATCTTTTTTTGAGCCCATGACGGAGCACGACCCGTCCACGTCCCGGGCAATTCCCTGATGTGTGTGGTTAGTCCTTTAGTCTGCCGCGCCGGTATAACACAGCCTTGTTTGTAAATTGTTACAGACCAACATTTGCCATTTTCCAACGGTTCCAGGCAGCAGGTGGTCTAGGAAATTTCGAACTGGGGCAGAAACTTGATAGTGGCGCCCCTTCTCTTCAGCGTTTGAGATAAATTGTTAACTGTGTCATAAACATATAATGGGTGGCATTTTTTGTGGCATGGAGAATAAGAACCCTTTAATAAAATTGCGCTCTTTATTACTACTAGTTGACTTTTTCAGTTGTGTGACCTAAAATTAAACATAGGAAACATCTAACCAGAAAATACAACAGACAATCAAGCGTTCTTAAATCGACTCAGAAAACGTTCATAAATCAATTTGGGATGTGTTAAACAAACTAGGCGTTTTAAAATCAAATGAATAATCGATAGAACAACTTGCGCTGGATGCTAGGCCCTTTGTGAAACAAGTTTTTTTAAACATGTTATATTATGAATTTGGAGCCCCCTGAGATTGCTAGGTGCACCGGTTTGCCCTCGCCCTTAGATCCAGGGCTGGTTCCAGGTTTGGAAATATCCATTACGGATCTGCACAATGACCAATGATGATAATGATCCTTCATTATCATGAAAGAAAATGCAAAATGGAGAAAAGGCAAATTAATAAGATTTGTTTACAATTGCCTGACAGTTCCGCGACATTAAAAGACAAATCCATGAAATTCAGGAGATAGCAATATAGCTCTCTTTGTTTATTGCTGAAGCACGTAGCACGTATTGTGAAACGTATGTTACAATTTTCATCATTCCGCTTCGGATTTCCACCTCTAGTTGCAGTGCATCACAGCAATTACAACTGCGTTGAGTTAGAAATAAAAAAATCATAATCACCAATCATGGAACTTTAAACTCTAAAGAATAAGCATACATGTGACTTTAGTATGTCTAGTCTTTATTCTAAATTTTAAGGCAACTTACCGGCATTCAGGATTTTCACGGCAGGCATGAGCGAGAGTGTGGCAGGCGGGGAGTGGGGAGCCGACCGGTGGACGCTGGGCACACGCAGGGTGGAGACGCTCCTGTGCGTTCATGCAGGAGTCCTCCCGGTTGTCGGTTTTCCTAAGAATACGCACGCTGTTTTAGGATATATACGTAGATACTAATATTTAAAGAGAACGACGGTTTCAGTTTTATTATATTTGTGCGTAAATTGCTTTTGTCCTCGGCTACAGGAAATAGAGGAAAAAGAAGCATCCAACTCTTTGCCTATCTATCCTCTAGCACATCATCCCGTCACACCACAACAAAACCAAATCTGTTTGGCCATTTTCTGGTAATCAAGCATGCACACTTAACATTGTTTGAATATTGGAAAGTGGAATTTTGAACTGGATTATAAATTTATGAAATTTCAACAATTTTCCGTACATACCTGTAAGGTAATAATAGATAATGCGATTAGATACAGATAATAATCCCGGGATCGGATTAATAGATAATTAGCAAATGGATGTTCAATGTTCCGCGGTGTCCTGGCGGTGTTAAGTGCCCAAATAGATTTATGACAAACTTCACTACAGGTATCTATTTAATAATACTAAACAATTGCAATAAAGCTTATAATATAACACTGATACAAAAGCCATTTAAATCCAATATAAAGCTCTGCAACAAACACACAAAGAAATTCACAAGATCTGCACAACCTCTGTCGAGTCCAGTAAGATCGAAGGAATGCCAAATTCTTTGTGTTGATCATCTTTGTATTAATAATAATGTTATTGTTACAGATACCGAAAAAAATAACCAACCCAAGAGAGAGTTATTAAATTCACATTATATCGCCAATACATGGATACGGGGAATCATATATAATATACAACCGCGAACGAAACACATGAACTTCAGGAATTGGTCAGGAACACGTCAAGACAACACACGTCTGTGACACGTGTGTGTCAAAGATTTTGATTAGCTGATTGAAAAAGGATGAGGATCTGGATTGGCACATATGGATTGTATGCATTGCTAATTGAAAAAAGGCATGAAAGGGCAGATACCTACCGCTTTTTCGGACTGTTATTACAATTATAACACTAAAAGTATAGTTGTTTTGAGTTCTTGTAAAATGTTGTTACCGCAAAAAATTGTTGGATGCATTTTTTAATATCATTTCATTAGGTTGAATAGTATACACATTGTCCTCTTGTGAAAGAGTTCGTCCAAGGAAGTACTGCCACTTTACCCATTTCTGTCACCAAGCAGCAAAGTCAGCATTACTGTGTTCCGGTTTTGAAGGGTAAAAGTGCTGGATTACATGAGGTAGTTATAAGTTTGAAGCCTTTGGGTGTGTATCTATATGTACGTCGTCTGTCTGTGACATCGTAGCTCCCAAACGGATGGACTGATCTCAAAGAGGCTTTTTTATTTGAAGGCTAATTTAATCGGGACGATTCTTAGCTATGTTTGATGAATATTTGTTTAGCTGTTCCGGGAAATCCCGGCAGGGATCTTAGTCATAAAATAATATTTATAGTATTTCCACTTGTCCGATCGACCTGCGATTCGTTGACATTACAATAAGATGGTACAGACTATTTAACTTCTCAACTACTTAAAGTAGAAATATCGTATTCATTATCACTTAAGAGTTGATACTACCGCAAATCGAATTCAAATTTTTCTCGTTTAAATA